TTATTTTGATTATGACTGAAACTGGACAGGGGCAGTGCAAGGGTCTGGCCCCCACATTACTACATCTTAATTTTCATAAGGTAGTCTTCATATAAAATACAAATTTTATTGTAACCTAATTATGTACAATAATGGATCATATGCAATATAGGTGAACAATTCAATTAGAAAAATTAAAAATAAATATAATGTAAATACAAATTAAAAACATATCATCATAGATTATTCCATCTTAAATAAATCAATGTTTTGTGGCAATTCATAGCATCAACTTTAGATTTTATTTATTTTTTTTTTTTATTTGTTAGAAGTTGAAGAAATTAAACACTTTCAACATTATGGATAAAAAATAGTGAATTTTATATTCCGTGTTTTTTATTTATTTTTTATTTTTTCAAGACTTAGCATAAGTAAAACAAATTAATGGATGGAGACAAAAAAAAGACCAAGAATAATGTCAAAATCCACTTTATCATGAAATTGTTCACAAGAATATTAATAAATCAAAATAAATGGTATTATTGTGTTCATTTATCTTTATACAATGACTTGTCTCGTAAATATATATAAGTGAATATTTTTAATTAGTGTGTGTGTGTGTGTGTATATATATATATATATATATAAAACATTATTCTCTAATATACATAAATATACATAAACATTATTCTCTAATATACATACACATATATATTATTCTCTAAGATATATATATATATATATATATATAAAAACATTATTCTCATACACATATATATATATATATATATATATATAATTTCTCACATATATAGATACACATTATTCTCATATATATATATATATACACATTATTCTCAAATATATATATATATATATATATATACACATTATTCTCAAATATATATATATATATATACACACACACACACATTATTCTCATATATATATATATATATATATATATATACATTATTCTTAAAATGCTTATATTCAAAATAATACAACTGTACTTGATAAATCGTGTTTTTTTTTTTTTGTCCCGCATCCAAAACCCATTTGTTCTAAGGGAGATAATTTAGTATGAACTAGAATTTTTCCTCTCTTGCCACAGAAACAGTGCTTAATTGGCCCTCGAAAATAATTCTCAACTACAATAGTTTAATATTGATTTAAAAAATATATCAAGTATAATTTGTGCATTTTTAATATTACAGGTAAATGTTATCTTGAAAAGAAATAAAAATAAGAATGATTTTCATTTTCTTCTAAAACTTCACACAAGCTTAAGGCAAGCTGAAAATAAATATTACTTTAACTGATTGTTAATTTCACTTACCTGTACATCAGATAACACAATCTTTTTTTCAGAAAAACTTTAAAGTTAAAAAAGGCTAAATTTTGTCTCTATGGCAAAACATTCAAAGGCTTTTCTTCTTTTTTTCTTTTTACTTAATTTTAATTCTGGTTAAAGTATAGAATGCCCTTGATCTTTGTCAACCAGACTTATTTTAACAATTAATATTTTTTGCCTATTAAATCTCAAATATATTTTTTCTATTTATTATAGCAGCTTAAAGAAGGTTATATATGAATCATTGGTGTGATTTTAAAAGGGTATAAAATAACATGTTTTTTCCATTTTTGAAATGAACAAACTGATCTCTACAAGAATGACATGTACAATATTCCAATATAAAAACTTTTTGGAGTTTTTTTTTTTTTTTTTTTTTTTTTAATTATACAAAAAGGACATAGTCTGAGTTAGGTTCTTTTCAAATTTCATTTTTGTTTTCCCAAAAACTTAATGTTCTTTTAGCATCAGACTGAAATCCTGTAATTAGTTCAGTTGATTATACAAATCATATGATTTTTTTTGATTTTTTTTTTTTTTTTTTTTTTTTTAAATCATTTCACCTCAAGCAAAGTAATAATGCCACTAAGATGCAAGGGGTTACTAGAGGTGAAAGAGAATGAAAAGACTCTGGAAGGAACCAGAAACCCAATCCTAAACAGAAAACAAATGATAAACCTCTGTTCTTGTTCAATAAACTGAAGTGTGAACTGGGCAATAGGCAAATCTAGCTACTTCTGTTTTTCTGACCCTATTTTTTCTAAATACAATTAACCTTTCTGGAAAAAATTAATTTTACTCCTTATTTTATCTATTATTTATACAAGTTTTCACCAAGCTTATTTTTGTCTGGTACAAAGTTACAATTTTGCAGTGCCTAATGAAGATTGAACTTGTTATTCTCTAGTATCAATAATGTTCTCCACAGTGAAGTGCCCAACTTTTATATATTGCATATATGTATGTATATAAGCATAGGTATATATACAGTTATATGAAGTTTGGGAACAATAATCTTAGCATTTTTGAAAAGGAAATAAAAATTATTTCAAATATAGCAAAAATTAAGTTTGCCACAAACATAATTATCATTATTAGCTATGGCAATGAGGTATCTGCTAACCTTGAGAGACTATAGAGTCTGCTACATTGGTTAGCTAATTTCTGTTGCAGATGCCTGTTCAGGTACATTTTGTGTTTCTTCAACCTCCACAAAGCCAACCTGTGGTTTATACTGCAAGTATGCAGAGTAGACTATAGTTGTAGTTTCTGGAAGAGAGTGCATCATCTGGCATGGTCAGCAGTTGGAACAAGGCCAGTATGCTCAAATTTTTGTTCACAATGACATGGTACTTTGTGCTAGCACAACCATCAATGGTTTCCAAACAGCTTCATCCAACCCAATTTCATTCAAAAGGCTTGGTTCAATTCATGATATGGTTTTCAGGCACTTCCCAACAGTGCTGCATAATTGGATCATCTCCTGGGGTTGATACTATTAAGTCACCTCCTTCATAAATCAACTATGATGAGATTCAAATCCAGAACAGTAATGTTTTAACTACTTAGCTATGCGCCCACTAGTAATAACCTATGTATAAAACTAATTCCCTTTTCATTTTTTTTTTCTTGAAATAGTCTTGGATTCTAGGGAAAAAAAGAATTATGATAATATGGAATGGATCTTGTCCATACTTTTAATGATTTTGCCACTAAGTGTCTTAGGGATTTTTGAATGGACAAAACTTGATGAGGTTAAATCCAGTGAATTATAAGGATGCTGTGGGTAGATCCTCTTAACCTAATGAGATTATTATGTTGAATGTGAACTTTGTCAGTCTGTTGACTGAATCAAGATTCTTCTTTGCAGCACACACACTTTCAACATAATTTTTTGTTCTTGACAAACATTGACAGTGACTGTTTTGTTTTATTCCATGAGCTGGTAATAGCTACAATTTACTATATTCCAATGATTACTCACCAAAACTTGCAGTATAAACCACAGGTTGGCTTTGTGGAGGTTGAAGAAACACAAAATGTATCTGAACAGGCATCTGTAACAGATTAGCTAACACAGGATAGAAATTTTGGCTTATTATGTTCACATGGGATTTTTTTAATCTAGAATCATTTATGCTTTCAACAAGGAATAAAAGAATTAGTTTCAATTAAAGTATTTTTTAATTCCTCTCTAATAAATTGAACTTTATTTACATTTGAAGAGATTATTATTATTGCTAGAAAATTTGAACAAATTTTTCTTATTGCTATCTGAACAACTTTGATCAGGGGACAAACAGTATTTTCTGATGGATTTTGCTTATAAGCTAAACATTGGTTCTGTTTTATCCCCAGTATGTTTTACAGGTTGATTTGAAAATGCTCAAAACATTTAAAGTTCTGCAAATGAATATTTTACTTACCAAAAAGCATTATTTTGCTTTATTTGATTATGATTGAAAAATGTTGGCTTTCTTTGTTTCAGCATTAAACTAGAAGTTATAACTAGGAAATCACTGAAATTCTTTTGCAATTTTCAGGCTGTTTTTAATTATCTTTACTGGACTCTGATTCTGTTAAATAATTTTAAAACCTTATGTTACCCAAATCTAGTTTATGATTAAAACCTCAATACTTGATCTGATGCTATTCTTTTAACAGAATAGTAAAATAGAATTTTATATAAATTATGTTGAAGTTAACTGTCCTTAATAGTACTTAATGGAACAAACTAAAAACATTGATACTTAGAACTTAATTTTTATATTGTTTGTTTAGCTAAAAAGCATCAGATTTTATCAAAAAATTATGAGACTGTGCCTTAATGTTATTTAATTTTGTTTTTCATTCCAAAGGTGAGTTTATTTCTAAAACCCTAAATCTACAGATGAATGGTATAAAATATGCTAGATCTCTCTCACTCATTTGGAAATTTTTTTGCTGATTTCCCATAGAAAAAGTTTGCTTGACAAAGATTAAATAGGGCTTTCTGACAAGTCATTTCAAGACATTGATAAACAAATAAAAAATGACAATCCTCTTGTTACACATTGGCCTTTAGTTAAAAAAAAAAATAAAAAAAACTTTAAATGACTTCTTTACAATCAACAAAAAGAAAAATAATTATTGAAGAAAGGAACAAAAATAAAATTCTGGTTCAAATATTGGTTATTATTCATACATTAGCATATTGCAAAATTCTATAACATTTTGACATGAAAAACTTCATAAAAATCATTGAATGTTGAAAAGTGTAGATGGTTATTAATTTATAAAAATGTGGTTGCTTACCATTATTTGTACTTGATTTTGTGAACAATATACCAAAAAATCCCCCAGAACTGTTTACCAAATCAATACATTTCAACTTTTACGTCATCAATTTAGTTAATATTTATTATATCTTCAAAAAGCTTATGAAGATTTTGAGTTTACTGTTAAAATTGCATTTTGACAATATCAAGTATTAAAAAAACAAACTGAATTTGTATTTTTTATTTTAAGTTTGAAAGTTGTTCGATTTTTATTTTTTATCTCCTTTCATATAGAAACATTGCCAGTTTTTCAGCTGTCTTGCAGTAACTTTCAAACTTTTTAATACCATCTTTCGTTCAACTTTGTTTTTCATACTCATTTTCTGATGTGTTTTGTATCCTACTTGTAGTCCTTCTTACTCCAGATCGAAGAGTGTTGGCTTTATGCCAAGTCAGAGGTAGGTAGGAAACCATCATCATCTTTGCCTTGTCATTTTTTTCCTGTATGCCAACATGTTTGGCAGCTAGGCTTGCTGCATGCTGGGAACAAAAAAAAAAAAAAAAAACTGAACTGAACTAAAAAAAATATAAGTAAATGAAAAATAACTTTCACAATTTTGATATTCTATTTCTTCTCTGTTCTAACTTTTCCTCTCACTCTATTTTCTAGCCACCCTCTAACTTTCTCTTCTCTTTCTGCTCTTGTGTACATACCTACTCTTACTATTCCCCACTATTTCTCTCTCTCTCTCTCTGTACCAAATTTACTCTGACTTTTCCTATTCTCTTTTTTCCAACACTTTCATATCTTTTGCCCTCAAGGCTTCTATCCTTTCTTTATCAAAGTTTGCTTTTTTTTCTCATAATTTATCTTTTACTATCATGACTAAACTGACTATTTTTTATGCTAAAGATAGTTACTTAGAAACTCATCTACACAGGACTTTCTTTTTTAGTTTTTGATTAGATTGCCAAAAGAAAATGCTTTTTATAAACAAAATGCCTTATTTGAACAGAATTTCTTTATATATATCTTTATTAATTTAGAATATTTAAAAAAAATTTTCCCATAACACAGTATGTTCTTCTAGATCTTTAATAATACCCACTGAAGTTGCTTTGCAGTAATTACTTGTATGTGCCTTAGATTATAAAAAAACTGTTCAGAAAATATTTTTTACGTGGTCTTATAAATATATTTTTAAACTTGTAGGTTTTTAAAAATCAAATGTCAAAATTTAGATAAAGGTTATTGATAATGTAAAAAGCATTAAGTGCACTAGCATAAAATAATAGCAAATCTATATAAATCAGAGAGTTGTATTAAATATTTGATCATGTGATCACCTTGCCATAAATCATACTAGGCATATACAGCAGTTTCAGTTTCATACTCTTTCATGGCTTCAAAAAAACTTAATGTAAACATTTTTTAAATATTTAAGAATCTAAGCCAAAAAACTAAATGCAACACAAATTATAGCTTGTGTAAAATTCTATTTCTTATGAACTAGTCAGTGAATCACAATGTTCTTAAAATTCATGAGTTAAATTCAGTCACCAACATTTTTCAAATAAATCTTCTATAAGGATGTAGGCAGATTTATATAAGCATATTTATAAGAGGAAACTAAGTTTGTTCATCATATAATATTTGTCAATATAAATAGTACAATTTTATTGGACTACCTGATTTGATATGGATGTTAGTGTGCTTGAAAATCATGCCATTTTTACAAAACTAACAAATGACTCCTCAGGTTTGAAACCCTGTACTTTTGTGCTCTGTAATTTTTTTCACTTTTGTAGATTATGTTTTCAGAAGAAACAATTCTTTATTAATTAATTTACTGTCATCTCTTGAGTAAATACAATTTAGGATACTAAATTCATTTACCAACTGGAACAAAATCTTATATTCTGATTGTAATCATCTGAGAAAGTTCTTTTTAAAGATTTGAAAATTCTAGAATCTTCTCAAGTGAGAAAACCAATGCACTGCAACTGAACATTGACACAAAACGTCTACCTGGAATGTATCATAGCATATAATTTTTTTTTTTTTTTAATTGTAAAATCTTCCAGTTGTTAGCATTCACAAATTACAAAAATCTAACAGTCTTTAGAAATCTTGAAGTCCAATAGTTTTAACCCATTAATGGGCACCCTAAAATGTGTTAATTATAAAAATTATTATACATTTCTTTAAAAACAAAAACAGTATTATACATTTCACCTATAACCAGTGACATGTAGAGGTTTAGTGATGCTTGGGACCAACTCCTTGATTGTATACCCACTAAGATTCAAAGGCAGGGGAATACTCTGGTCTCACTTATCGAAACGTGGATCCATATTCACATCAGCATGTGGATCTCTAGGGCACTTGTACAACAATGTTAAAAGACAAATTCAAAAACTAAATTTTTTTTCTACTTTTTGATTGGATGCCCTCTCAATATGGATGCTTGGGGCTGTTACCACCCCACCCCACTGCATGCCACTGTCTTTAACCCATTAAAATATCCAGCCATAATTATACATTTCCATATATAACTCATTAATACCAAACATCCTAAAGAGTTACTTTTTTTTCTTTTTTTTTTTTTAATCAAACATTTTTGTTTTAGTTATATTTCAGTTTTCATTTGAAGTCATTTATGTAGCTTCTTTAATAACTGAATGCCATTTAATTTCATTAATATATTTTACAAGACACTAAATTTAATACAGTTAAAATGTCTCAAAATTCTCAATAGTCCACAAAAACAAAACAAAAAGTAATCTTTTCCATCTGTACTTAACAGATCTGCTTCATTAGTTTCCTCATCTTTTTTCAAAGATGATAGAAATTCATCCAATTGTCTTACTCAGTAATTCAAAATGCAGGTTCCCCATAATTGACAATTTCATATTTATAATACCATAATTTGTCATTATTGTACAAGATGGCCTATAGGCACAGATTTGGTTAAAATTGATTAAAATATAGGATGTGATTTTTTTTTTTTTTTTTTTTTTTTTGTTTTTTGTAATTAGAAGTATACCAAATGATTTAAATCACTCTATTGAAATTTGAGAAAAACAAATGATGGTGAACTTCATTCTTTGGGGGATCATACAAACTTCAAATTAAATTTCAAATTCTAGAGAATGCCATAAACATAATTCTAAAGAATTACAAGTATGCTATAAAGGTCTCTCTCTCTCTCTCTCTCTCGCCTTCTCTCATATTAAATCTGTCTTCAATCACTCACACTATTTTCAACAGCCTCCTTGCCACATACACATATAAATATATTTGAGCTCAACTAACTTTGATACTAGGAATACATTTTTGTAACATTTTTTTTTTACATAAGAAGATTCATAGTGTTTTGAGTCCAGCATGCTCCCCCATTGTACCTCTCATGTTACATGTGGTTAATCCTCTTTTAGATTATATTCAATCTTAAAGACTTAATTTTCATTGTTAATTTTAATTTTGATCAGTTTGATAATTTCATGTAAAATTGTTACATAATAATAAAGTATGATAAAATAAGGAACACATAGGAAACGTTTATAAATCTAACGTTTTGTCTTTAAGTTTAATTTATTAAAGCTTCATTTATTTATTAAAGATTCTCTGAAGCTTTAATAAAGACAAAACATATTAGATTTATAAACATTTCCTATTTGTTCTTTATCCTATCATTCTGTCAGATGCTGATCCATATTTGATCCAAATTCATAATAATAAAGTATGCCAATTTTTCTAAAATTTCCGGAACCAAAAATGAAGCTTTAAAACCCCTTATGAAAATTTAATCTTCTTAATGTTTAGCATGCCTGCTAACTTCTTTTGAAAAACCTCATGCGATACATGTTATGCATTTTTTTTTTTTATTGAAACGGTTAAAATGAATATTTAATTCTGTGATTGAATCTTCAGTCATAGAAATATCTTTTTGCAATATATGAAGATATTTTAATTGCATTTCTATAGGCAGTAATTTCAGTTTGACCTTTTTTTAATTTACTTTTCCATTCATAGAAACAAAAAATTGTTCAGTAATAATGTATCTAATTTCGAATGCTCTCTTCCAAGTGCAATATTAAGACTTTATTTTAAAAATTCTATTTATTCTTTTCACAAATAGATTCAGTTACTCAAACCATTTGTGGTGTGAAAAATTTTAATGTAAAATAATGACATTGTAAAAGGACGTTTCTATTTATGAATAACATTTTTCAAGACACCAGATAATAAATGTCAAAGTGGAAACATATCAAGTTTCAAATAAAACCCATGAAAACAATCCTGACTTTTTTTTTATATATTACACAGAGAAATAATTTACAAAACCCCAGATATACAAGCCAACAATTGTATATTTTACATAAGCTTTTGCAATATGAAATATTTTAAGTAAAAAAAAATTGCTCTTATTTTTCTCTCTCTAAATATTTGTCTATTTTAAACTTAAAGTTTAATATTAACTTGTAATTACATGTTTCTATATTATTGAAAAATCTAGTAACAAAAATATCTCTTTACAATATAGACTCCTTTTGAAAGTGAATCAACTTAACAATTATGTAAACTGTTTTAAATGCACTAACTTTGATTCAGTCTTCACTCTCTTCAGTTTTCTTAAAGCTTGGGCAACTAATTTTGCTTAAAGATTTTTTAATGTTTGAAGTTCTTTAAAAAGATTGCAGTGAAAGCTTTTTAAATTTTTCTTGGTATGCTAAGTTAAAAAATAACCAATAGATAAATTTGTAGCATTTTATTTATTTTTAATAAGTAATTTAATTATATTTACATTAAAGTTTAATTGCTTATTTGCTGTCTACATTATATACTCATTACTATATTTTAGCTTCCATTAACACATTCTCTGCTTAATACTCTATCTTCAACTTTAAATATAAAGTTGTGTGATTACTTTTTCTGATAGATTTTCTTTTTCAGGTTTAAAATTTTTTTAATCTTTATATAATTTCTGTGTAATATATGCATAAAATATTAGCAAAATCCTTTCTGTTATATATAAAATTCTTCAAAAGCTGCTTATGTGGGATTGTTCCCCCCCCCCTCTGTTTAATAAGAGTAATCCACACACATAGAAATATGTATTTAAATTCTACAAAATTGATTAATATACTATCTGATGCACTGCTTTACTTTTTCTCAGATAAAATATTCCAAATAAGAAAAAGATTAGCTGCAAGGCATTGGCCCTCAATTAGCAAACTTAGCGAGATCTTTAACAAAAACACCTTAAAATTGAGTTACAGCTGCACTGAAAATCTAGAAAGAATCATAAAAAGACATAATAAGAAAATCCTAGAAAAACATGCATGCCAAAACGGTAATAAAACTCATAAACTAAAATTAGATAAAAATAACGAAAAATTATGCCCGTTGGAAAATAAATGCCTGTTGGAAAATAAATGCCTCACAAAATCTGTG